AGCAACGAAGATGACATAATGAATGAAATGAGCAGTTATTTTTGGCTGCCCCCTATTTGGGTGACATTGAGTTTGGCCACAGCACCTGCCATGATGGCTTGATAAGGTCTGAAATAGTGCATGAATAATAAATGAAGCTCACATCTGGTAAAATTCAGTGTTTGAGGTTTTTTTTTTTTTTTTTTGATGTCCTTTTATCATGTTCCTGTTGCTTGACTTTATCTGAAGGGATTATGTTTAGAGAGTGTACATAGACAAATAGATATGCTAATAAAAAATGCAATAGTTGATAAGGTACAGGCGACACGGAGCATTCAGTGCAGGCTAAAACCAGCTCCAGACTAAAAATGGTTACTAACGTAACTGAAATTTGTACTTTGGTCATTAAAAAATACAGATAACAAACGAGTAAATTATCCTTCTGACTGGTCTGCTTTCAGAAGGCTAGATTATATTTGTCAGATCAAGAGAATGGTGAAAGAAGGGAAACAAAAGGAGTTACGCTTTGTATTCTACGCTTTGTATTCTAACTAGAATGAGGGGTTGAGGGGGAAATGCAGGTTTCAGTCTGATAAGTAAGTGCATGAAATATGCTAGGCTTATGGCAGTGTTGTTGCAGGCCAGGAGAGCTCGGGAAGGACGTGTATTTCTGAGCCATGTGAAACTGGCAGTTCTCGTTCTTTATCCAGTTCCCATCCTCTCTGCTCGTGGAGAGAGTACCCGTGTTCAGAGCTTTTGGCAGGACTCACCATCCAACACCATCTGATAGATCACCTATTACAGAGTCTGAAGACTTTAAATGCCCGAGAGTGGTTTCCAAAGCTCAGAATGAATGATTTCATCATCAGTGACCTGACTTCCAGAGCTACTTGATAGTACAAAATCTCATTAAAGATAAAAGACTAAAATAAATGTAAGCTTTCTGAACAATTTTCCAATTAAAATTGACTTTTCTGGGGGGGAAACAGAACAAAGCAAACCAACAAAAAATGGTTATCTGGAAAGTTAATAGTCTAATTTCTCAAATGCAGAATCCTGAAACACCTTGTTTCACCAACTTCCAGCAAGAAGCAGCATTAGTGAATGCTGTGGCAGAAGCCTGGATTCTAGAAAGATCAGGGAAAAAGAAGAAACTGCAGTAGAAACATTTGGCTTGTCACAATTGTTATATGGCACCGTAGCTGCAACTTCATAATGTGCAATAAAACTGACACGATGAGTTTTCTTTGAAAAGCACTTTGGTTCTGGAATAAAATCACATGCATCAAAAATATGGCATAGCCTTCTGTATTGCATAACGTATTGCATAAGAGAAAATAGAGAATAGCTGTTTCACATTAATGCTTTGTCACATGGGCAGGTGAGGCATGCCAATGGTGAATGAAATTTCACCATGGAAAGCAAATGAGAAAAAGAGTTTCTGATTCAGTCAACTTCAGAATCATACTTCATTCACAGTAATGTTTTAAACTGTTACAGTTCCAAGCGTGATGACTATAACTGAAAGAGGTTTGACAGAAGGAGGATATTTTTACTGTGTCAAGTGTCAGCCCCTTGGATTTAATCAGAAAATCATTTAAGACTCATTGCCTGTAATTTCCCAAGTGCAGTCAGAATCCTTATTTCGATGGATTTTTTTCTTACAGCACCAGGAGAAAAAGACATTTCTTTAAATGGCTGATGATTTAAACTGGTATTTAAACTATTTTAATTACTTGTGTCTAAACTTAGAATATGTATAGAATTTAATGCTTTTTAAAATCTTGCTGAAATTCTGAGATTTTCATCAAGACAAAGCACATTTTAATGGGCTTTAACAAAAAAAGAAAGGAAGAAATGAAATTGAAGAGCAAGCAATCCCACACTCTTTATTACATTCATCTTTTTTTAGATTGACAAAATGAAAACAACACCCACATAAAATGTAATTGCCAAAATCATTTTATTTTATTTTATTATTTTATTTTATTTTATTTTATTTTATTTTATTTTATTTTATTTTATTTTACTTTATTTTTTGTCAACCACAGAAGGCAAAATCCATCATTCCCACCTCTTGGTCAGCTGCTCAGCCTTTTCGATTATTTTTTTTTTTTTTCAGAGATGACTGCTATACCCATCTCTTCCCAATAGAGGTGCCAGTGAGAAGAACTGGGCATTAAGGCCCACATATTCCAGACTTACGCAAGGCTGAGTTTCAGGAGTACCAAGGAATGTGCTGGATCAGACACCTGGGAGGTGCTTCTTTACATAATTACCACAGTTTTCTAGTAGGAGACCGCCTCAGGCTCTCTGTGGCTCTGCACTGCGGGGCTTCAGGTCTCTGCTATAAAGATTTTGCTTAGTTAAGTAAGGGACGATATGTTTAAGGACAGTGGGTGAAACAAACTTGTGTAAGAGAGCCTACACGCAACGTTGCATTGAAACAACACATGCAGACCAGTGGGAGGTGGTTCCCAGTTGCAGCCTCAGCACTTTTGCAGTGGATCATTTGGTAGGTAGAGGGTTGGGTGCAAGCCTGCGGGTTGCCTGCTGATGTTGTCTGATGATGCAAGTGGAATTCACCAAGAAGGCTGGAAGGCTGTAGGCTTACACCACAAGGAATGATTTGTCACTGTGTTATTTTAGGTACGTACTCATTAAGTTGCAACAAACATCAGGCTGGAGCAAGGTCTGCTGTCTACTCCTGCGTTTGCTGCTTATCCCACCCGAAGAGTTTGTAAAAACACAGCACACAATGGGGGAAAGCAGACTTTTGCTTGAATGTAGCTCCAGAAGGTACGAGCAGCAAAGAAGATAGGGTGGTACAGGCCAGACTAGATAGTAGGGCCTTTGCTGAAAGTCCTTGCTGAGCTCTTCTACTGTGTCCTACTGCTCTTAATAGTATTCAGTTGTCATGGATGCGCCTGCTGACGCTGCAAATTAATCTTCATTCCATTGCGAAGAGATGCACAAATACCTGTAGTCAAGGGGTTAGTGAACTCGAATCCTTCTTGGTGTTAAAAAAGTTGATGGTCGACTTCTGGTACCAGTGGTGCAGTAAGGATGGAACAGATTGAGTTATAAGTTTATCAGTTTTGATCCAGTCACTCTTTACTGCTAATCAAATTATGCCATTTAGCTCGGCGTTGCTTTGAAAAGTAATCACTCCATTGTGTCAATGCAGTTCGAGCGGACCAAAAGGAATATGCTAACTCACTCAAATCAACTTTTGCCATAAAGGTAGGACCGAGAAGGATTAAGCAATGCAGAAGTCTTTGCTGGAGAGTTGTACAGCAAAGTACATTTTGTTCCTTTTGTGAAGACTGCATCATTACGTTGTTTGCTGTTACAAAGAGAAGCTGATATACAGAAGACAACACTATTCCAGTCAATATGAAGTGTTGAATTGCGTAGATGAGGAGTGCAAGCACACGAGAACAGCTCGGCGTGGTCTTCTGCGGTTGGGGGCTGCAGGGCTCTGTAAGGCCTCACATCAGCAACGCAGCGCACAACTTCCTCTAAACCGTTTGAAAAGAACTTTTAAAAAGCATGTGAAGGGCCGGAATGCCTCCTGCGAATATATCATCGACGTAAACTCTGAATTACACTTGGTTAAAAGGCAGGGTAGCAAATAATTCACGCTTCCTGCGGTACATTCCCAGCGACTTCTGACTGGAAGTGCTCGGGTTCGGTATGTTGCGATGAAAGAGGAACACGATATAAATAACCAGATGACTGCTGTGTGCCAGTGCCTTTTTAACCTGAAAAGTTCCCGATTTGTGTCAGCGCTCACGTGGGCTCTGCCGCACATCCCTCAGCGCCAAAGTCAGCGCTCAGATGGCGAGAGGGTAACGATCATTTTCAGGGCAAAGTCTGACGACGCTGTTTCTTTCACGCGATCGGGAGCGCGGTTTAGGGTACGGTTTATTCGTATTTAGGCTGCGCCGCGCCACCGGGGCCCGCGCTTCCCACACTGCGCCTCGGCAGCAGCGGTCAGCGGAGCGCAGCGCAACCACCTCCGCGCGAAGGAGCGAGAGCCGGGAGGCGGCCCTCACGCGGCAGAGGCCGCTCGTCCCTTGAGAACTACAACTCCCATGAGGCTCCGCGCGCGGCGCGGGGCACGACGGGAGCCGCGGCCCCCCGAGTAAAACGACGGCCGGGGAAGGGCTCGAGGGCGGGCGCGCGTGCGCGGAAGGAGGCGTGCCCGGCGGCTCCCCTCCCCCTCCCTGCTGTGTGTCGGTTTCGGGCGTCCGTCGCCATTTAGCGCTCAGACGGCCCCGAGGTGGCCGCGGCGCCTCCGCTCCCTCCTCCCCGCCGCGGCGCGGGGCGCCACTCGGACTCGCGGCGCGGCCTCCGCTCCCGCTTCCCGGTGTGAGGCGGCGGGCGGCCCCCGGTGAGGAGAGGCGAGGCGGCGGGGGGCGGCAGCGGCGGCGGCAGCAGCAGGAGGAGGAGGAGGAGGAGGAGGAGGAGGAGGGTTTCCGGCTTCCCGCGAGGCGGCGGCGGCCGCTTCTGCTGCTGAGGGAGCGCGGCCCGGCCTCGCGCGGGCGGTGGCTGCCTGGCGGGAGGGGGAGGCCGCGGCCGCCATGGGCTCCCCTGCGAGGCGGGGCTGAGCCCCGCGGCCCCTTTCCCTGCCCTCGCGGCGGGCTGAGGGCTCCGGGCCCGCCCGCTGCGAGTGACTGAGCGCGGCGGCTGCCGCCTCCGCGGCCTGCCTCCGCTTCGCCACCCCTTGCTCTCCCCTCCCCGCGGGCTCTCGCTCCGGGGGGGTTCCCGGGCCTGCCCCGGCCTTCTCTCGCCCGCCCTTCCCTCCTTTCCCCCCGCCCGGCCCCGCGCCCCGGCTCTCTCGCGGTGCTCCATGTCGGCCCCGCTGCCCGTTGCCCCGCTGCAGGATGGATGCAGACGCTGAGCGGGGAGCCGCCCCGCTGGCCCAGCCTCCCCAGCAGCCGCCTCCCAGCTCCGCCGCCGGGAGCCCTTGGGACCCTCCTGTCTCGCAGCTGCGGCCGCGGCCGCGGCCGGGCGCGCTCCCCGCGCAGTGAGCGGCCTCTCCCCTCGCCTCCCCCCGCCCCGCCTCGCCCCAGCAGCGCGTCCCCGGGCCGCGATGTCGGGGGGAGCCGCGGACGGCGCACCCCCGGCACCCCGCTTCTTGGCTCCCCCGCCGCCGCCCCCCAAGAACGGTTCCAGCTCGGACAGCTCCGTCGGGGAGAAGCTGGGAGCCGCCGAGCACGCGGCCTCCGGGACCGGCGGAGCGAGCGGCGGAGCGGGGAGCGGAGGCCGTAGCGAGGAGTATCGCCGCCGCCGCCACACCATGGACAAGGACAGCCGAGGGGCGGCAGCCACCGAGCACCGCTTCTTCCGCCGGAGCGTGATCTGCGACTCCAACGCCACGGCCTTGGAGCTGCCTAGCCTGCAGCCCGCCGCGCCCTCGGCTCCCGTGTCGGGAGGCAGCGCCGCTCCCTTGGTCTCTCCTCCCGAGTGCGTCCGCACCACTTGCATCGTCGTCGGCGCCTCGCAGGCCCCCTCGCTGCTGCAGCAGCCTCCGCCGCCAGTCCCGCTTCCCCTGGAAGGACGCTCTGGCCAGGAGCCCCCTGCCACCAAGGATGCCGCCCCGCTACTGCCCAAAGAGGAGGAGGATGAGGCCGCCGCTCTGCCCCCCACCAGCGCGGCTGGCAGCACGTCTGCTGCCAGCCGGGAGTTCGAGGAGCGGAGGACACAGCAGGAGGACATAGAGGAGCTGGAGACCAAGGCAGTGGGCATCTCCCCTGACGGCCGCTTCCTGAAGTTTGACATCGAGATTGGAAGAGGCTCTTTCAAAACTGTATATAAAGGACTGGATACTGATACCACTGTGGAAGTCGCCTGGTGCGAGCTGCAGGTAAAGCAAATAAAAATGGTGAATTAGCAGAGCACAGCCAGGCTCCTAGATGCTTGGCTGCATGCTTGAGGGTGATAAAAACCCATCCAGTTGTGGTCTACGTAGACGGGGAACTGTGGATCTTACCTGAGTCACCCCCTTTAGAGAAAAGTGCAGGCTTTCCTTGGGGTCTGAATAATTTTTTTTTTTCTTTTTATCTTAAGAGAATGTACTACAGTTCTGTTTCTTGTGACATCTTGCATTTTATCACCAGCGGAAGGTAACTTGGAGGTTTGTAGAAGTATTTGAAATGCAGTTTAGACAGGCCGAGGGTAAAATTCTGTCAAATTAATGAGAGCAGGTTTTTGAGACTTGTTTTTAGGTGCTTCTCTTAGAACAATATTAAAATGCAGTTTTCACAGATGCTTTGTATGTTTGTGGCACTGGGCTATTGTAGGCTTAGAATATACCGTAAGTCATTTAGAGCAGCATGCTGAGCTGTGCAAAGCTGTTTTTCATTCTGAGAGCTAGATTCTTGCTTGGTACAGGTACAAGGATGAAATTAATCATATCCTTTATGAAGCTTTGAAAAACCTCATGCTTACCCTTTGCAGATGACTGGTGGATAAAACTAAAGTGAGAATAGGGCCACAGTTCTCCCAATCCCAATCTAATGATGGCAAAACACCCTTAGTTCATGCGAGTCAGAGCTTGTGTAACTGAGAGACAGGTTGCTGTGCAACAGCCTTAAAAGAAGTGGGAAGAGCTGGGGTACCAGGGGCAAGTATTTGATGTAGTATTTGGCTTTCAAAGCCTCAGTGTTAAATTAAAAAGATAGTGCTTGCTTTTTAGTGTTGTTTCAGTACAGTCTACAGAGGGATTCATGTACTATGGCTTCATTATTCTGTGTGTTCTGATGCAATTTAGGGCAGACAAAAGAGCATTGGGTCAAAATCCCAGGAGCTTTGGAGGAGGATCAGAGCAGATAGCTCCTTGCAGTACTATAGGGAGACTTTGTTCTCCTCAAAAGCAATTTTGTATCTCATCCTTCAACAGTACCTTTGAAGACTATGTTATTGCCCTTGCTCTACGCTTAGTGGCTGTGGAAGTAAGCTTCCACTTTTCTGAGACCTTTAAGCACGCACCCTTCCTACGTGCTGTTCTTCCTGTGGCAGTCTTCTGAGCGTGAATTTTAACTAGCATTGGGCCCTGCTTAAGCTTTTCATATTCGGTTCAAACTGAGATTAATCCTCTGAAAAGATATGACTTTCTATTTGAAATTTTAATCTTTGTAATTTTGGAGTTCCTTTATGTTAACCTCTGAAATCTGTTTTAATCTTTACAGTGTACTTACTGATCAGAAACTAATGACAGCTTTGCATCAGTCACTTTCCAATAATACCACCTCTGTTGAACTGTCTTAGTCATCTTCCATACTGTGTGAACAAATGGTCCGAAGAAGCACCTTCTTTGAAGCAGTGTAATAAAAAAGCTCATTTATGAAGAGTATGTTGCTGAGCTTTCAGTTGTTTGAAGAATTTCATGAGTAGGTTTCTAAAATGACAGCGAGACTGCAAATATTGGTTGGGGGAATATGTTGGATGTTCTCCTTGAGGACTACATATACTGAAGGAGCATCATACAAGTGAAATTGTTTTAAAGGCTGTAGCTTTCTTCTCATAAGGAGGCTGCATGCAAAATGATGCTTTTAAAACATAAACATAATTTTTGTAGATTTTAGAAGTATTTCCTGAAGGAGCTACTCTGTATGGTTAAGGATATTGAGATAAGGCCTTGTTTTATTGCGTCTAAAAATAAAAGGAGGAACTTGGGAGCTATTGGTATGATGGCTACATGCTCTTCTTTATCTAGGAAAACATAAATGTTGTCAGGACAATGAAATTCTTTATGCATGTTCTCTGTCAATGTCTGAATTCATGAAATGGTCAAAATTAAAATGTTATCTTGGTTTTCTTGTTTGATGTGGCTTGAAGATTTACCAGTCTTCAAAGCACCCTTATTTTATGGAAATATGAGTCAATTTCTTCCATGCTATATTGTAGCAACCCTAACTAACTTGTACTTGTTTTTAATTGCTTGACATATCATAGACATCCAAGGTGTCCCACCTTTCCAGAGTCTTCTATAGTACCACTGTAGTGCTGCCAGAATGAGACCGTGCAGGTTCAGTTGTTCATCTCTGCACTTGTCCAGAGCTGATGAAAATGTATCACAACTCTTTAGAATTACTTTCTCTTGGACTTTTCTAGCATGCTTTCACTGCTTCAGTTTCTTGAAGTTCTGCTTGGAAGAAAGGAATATGCTGGCTGCTTTCAGTTCACCTGAATTAATGTTTAAATGTCGTAGCAGGAATTGTGTGGGTCAAAGACAGTGTGGAGGAATGTGTAATAGTTGCATTGTCCATCATTGTAAAGTCACTCTGCCAGAGACCATCTAATTTTTATGTCTTCCATAGAGACAAAAGGTAAATCTGGGACTATCAGTTTCTTCTTGAGAGAAGTGTAGTTGCTGTTTTATAGCTCGGGTTCCTGTGATGCTGATGATTCCATGGAGTGTGTTGTTCTGTATCCTTAAGAAGGCTTTCCAACAGCATTGTAATTCCTTACACTTGATGTACTGAATTGTGGTGGAAATAGGAGAAAGTCATTACGTTCTGTGGATAACTTACTGCTGTGAGAACCTCCAACAGAAGAGGCCCTGGCCCAGACTTCTTAATTTTTCGTAATCTGAAGATGATGGAAAGGTGTGATTAGAAGGAATTGAGTATTTCAAGGCTGCTGATAGATAGCTAACAGAAGTCTGAGAAGGGCATGGCTGATAGACAATCCTAGCTTAACTTGCTCTTATAAACAGGCTATGAACTGTAACTGAACCTATTTTAAATATTGGATGCAGGTATTTAAATGTGAAATACCTGCTCTTCTGGGAGCATGAGGGAGCTAGGAAGAGCTCAGCAGCAACTGCTTAGAGCCACTACTCAGCTTCATTTACTGCAAGGACGTTGTTCAGTGATAACCTTCAAGTACTTTTATTCCTATTGTGTAGGTTCATCTTGGCTCTAGTTTTTCTGAGTCAAGTGTGCCTCCTACTGTTGCCATAAGCACATCTCATAAGTTTAGTGTAGTAGTAGTTAGGGTTACTGCTTTAATGATATTCAAGTAGGTAGAAGTTAGCAAAAGTGGTTACTGCTGTTTGCTATTGTAATTTAAAATGTCTCTTCCTGTACAACCATGTTACTGTTGAGACTTTTTAAGTTACATCAGAGTGGTGAGTCTTTTGTCACCTCTTTGTACAGCTCAGGTAACGTTGTGGCAAAAATGTGATGCCTCTTCCTGTTAGGCCTTTACATCTGATAGATAAAGTTAATGCCAAAGGTAGTAAGAGTCACGTAGTTGATTATGAAAGCTAAATCTTGGGGACGATGTGTCACCCTCTGAGTCCTCGTTTCAGTTTGAGTCAGTTTTAAAAAAGATGCTTGTTAACCTCTGGCCTACAGAACAAGGCAGGCTGGTGCAGACTACATAAAATTTTGTGTGGAATTATTGCCATGGGTTCTGTTGTTCAAATAAGTAACTTTTGAAATATGGAAGGATGATTGGGCTGTTTTGAGCTGTGTTTGTTGAGGATTTGGAGGCCTACCTTCTTTTATTTGTGTAGCATCTTTTTTTTTTTTTTTTTTTTTTTTTTTAGGAAGAATGATTTAGAAACTGTAACTAGAATGATATTTACGTTAGCTGAAAATGCTTTGCTGGTAAACCACAAGCACGGGGGAACTGTATACCACATGCCTAGTATGTGCTGTATCAGTCCTTTACCTTCTATTTCCTTTCCAGAAAGGACAGGGCAGTCAGTTGTCGGTTACAGTTCATGAACACATCTTGCTGATGTGTCACTGCCTTTCTTACTCTACTGTACAGTGTGTGAGCTGCTGAGGGAGAAGGGGGCTGGGTGCTGTCTCCTAAGCAAGACAAAGCTTTCTGAAGTTAAGCAGTGAGTTTAAAAGGCAAGCTGTGCAAGAACATGCTGTGCTAGTTACTACTTGGAAGGGGGGCTGAATGCAAACTTGGTTACCTCGAGTTATGACTCCTGTAGGTAATCCAGGGTAGGTTACATAAAAGCACTTCTGTTGTAGATTGTAAATTATACATCAAGTGTAGTGTATGAGATGCTGCAGCTTACCAGTGGAGTTTTCCATAGTAGCTATGAAAAGCAGTTGAAAGCAAACAATAGGTGAATGTCAGCTATGAGATTCCGTAGTGCAGTGAAATGACAATGCATCTGGTCGTTATTTTTTTTTACAGGACATAGTGATGAGCTGAATAGTATTTCCATGGGTCAGATTTCTATTTTTTTTTTTTTACTGTAACAATCTGTAAAAGTTATCTGAGCAACTTCCTGTGTTCTGAGTTTTTAGGTGGGAGGTACGTCTTCACTTTTATTGACGCTTCATTTTTAATTCTGTCTTTATAGCTTAGCTGAAGCTCAATTTAATACTGAGCTTTAGTTGCACAGACAACAGTGGGATGTAGCTTCTGTGCTCTGGAGGTTATGCTCTGCTAAGGCACACCGTAATCATCAGCCTACTGAAGCCAAAGTACAATTCGTAAAAATCTCTAAGCATTCTGGACTAGCTGAGCTGGGAATGTTTCAGAAGTTGCTTGTTCAACTCTGACAACCAAAAAAGGTCTTGTATCACATAGCTGTGGCATCCTGTAGTCTTTTTTTTTTTTTTTTTTAAAGCTGTTTGCATTTTGCTTGCTGAGAGACCTGACTGCAGAGATGCTGGCTCTGATGTGTGATCTCCTTATGTCCACATTAAAACAAAATGGAAAACCAGATGAAAACTTATGTGCAGCAAGAGGAAGCTGAGGGGTATGGACTTGGAATTCGTCTGACTGTTAACAAGCTACTGGAAAACCATTATATTCTGCTAGTTCAGGGGGATGAACGCATCCTGAAATAAATATAGACTATTAACAATTGTAACTGTGCTCTAAATT